TTATTAAGTAAAAGCCAAGATGGAATTTGTTCGATTATGATGAAAAACAAAAAAATAAAATAAAATATCAATTTGTTGTTAGACATAATTATAATAATCCCATTTTAAATTTACTTGTTGTTTTATTTTTGAATGAGTATAAGTAGGAAAGTACTTAAATAAATTGTAGGTTCAAAATTTTACATGCATGATTGATCTTAGATTATCAAGTGTAGTGTCTTCTACATGATGAACTATACTCTATAGTTGATATTCGAGTTGAGTTGAATAAATTTTGAATTCGAACTTGATTTGATGGGTTTTTATTTTTATTTTTTAATTTTTAATTAAGTTAAGTTTCAAATGTCATATGTTAGTAATAAAGATATAAAAGTATCATTTAATTGAGCTTTATATATTGTGTCGATTTAGTTGGCTCATTAGTAACGAGCATTTTGGACTAGTACGATGTCGGAGAGGAAGATATGAGTCTTCGATGTCGATAATGTGTTCTAGAAATGCTCTTAGGGTTTGTTCGTTTGAAGAATTTAACAAAATTTTATTATTCATCCAAAATTTTCTTCCAAAAAATATCAAATCAAACACTTATTTTTCAATTTTTATATATACTAAAAATTAATTTTACATTCAAAACATCACATCAACACCTATTTATATCACATCGTACAACTATTCAAATTCAAATTTTTTACTATTCAAATCCCAATTCAAAATCCAAACTCCAGACAAACAAACCCTTAATATAAAGTTATTGAGTAGTGACATATATGATTGTGCGACAATGATAATCACATTGTTGCAATTGACATGAGGTTATTAATTGTGTTGATAAACTCAAACCAATATTCAAAATTACTATTTACAATATTTCATATGCCACTGGAACATTCGTGTTTAGTTTGAATTTCAAACTCAAATTAATATTCTTTATGTTCCGGCGGCGGTAGATATACATTTTCTTTCTGTGATGAATTTAAAAAATTGATAATACTTTAATTGCACTAAGTAGTAAAAAATATATAATAATTTTGGCCTTAACTTTAATAAAAAGGTAACAATATAATAGTAAATATGTAAAAAAGAAATTGTATTGAACAATAGAGTTCTCAAGAAAGAAATGCATATTTAGTTACCGGACAAACGAAAATGACAAAATATATATGTATTGGCTAGGAGGAAATATTATGTAGTTGTACAATTTTAATAAAAATATGATAATTTATTTTTACAATATATCACATTAGAATACTATATAAATCAAAATTCAAATTAATACTCAAATTTCAAATCAAAACCAAACAAATATTGTGTGCGCACTATTGTATTAGAACATCAAATTTCGTGTTGCTATATATTGAATTAATACGACAACGTGAAAGGTGTTTACTCATATATATATATATATATATATCGAATGTGATTTTATCATGTGATATTACTATAATATGGTTTTGTAAATTGTATTAGCTTAGGGTTTTAGTCATGTAAACTTATTAAAAATGCATCGATTTGGCAACACGGTTGATTATATATTGCAATTTCATATTCATACATAATAATAACTTTGGCTATTCAGTATGTATAGTTTTCAATAAGAACGACTTGTAACAAACTTAAAGCAATTTGATTTAATTCAATTAGTATATATATTATTTTTCTTAGAAAATATGATATAAAAATATTATTTAAATCGATATTGAAATAAAAAAAAAAAAAACTCAGCCTTAGCCTCAACCGCAACCTCAAACACAAACGCAAGCCAAACAAAATCTATTTTATTTTACCCAAATTTTTAACAATTTAATCTTTCATTTTTCCTTAAAAATATCATAGTTAAGGACTATTTTATTACAAATAATAAAACATTTATATAATTCAAGAAAGCAAACCCTTATCCTGTAAATTTAGAGTTTCTGTGGGTTTCCTTTTTTTTTTTTTTAAGATTTTTGTTATTAATTATTTGAAGCTGTTAAAATGTTATAAAGAATTGTGTTGTTATATGAGTTATTTTTTTTGTTTTTAAATATTAGGTTAAAGAAACTAATATATTTTTACTATATAATATAAGTTAAAGTTTTTTTTAAAAAAAAATTGAAAATTTTGTAGATTTTAAAAGAACAACCTCTCATTGTGTTTTTTGAGGTTTGAACTGGATTTGGATTTTGAGGTTTGTGATTTTTATTTAAATAATATTTTACGTAATATTATATAATTTTTAATTAATTAATTAATTAATTAATTTATTTTTTATGAGAAACATAAAAACCAAATAATAAAACTATACTTAAAATTAAAAGAATTAAATTACAATTATGAAAAAGCATAGGAATACATATTTGATAATAATAAAATTACACCTATCTATTGAGTCCCACTAATTAATTAACACATTTATTTATATATGCCACTCATTTCTAATTTCTTGAAGTCATGATTGATGTAACCATTTTTTTTGGTTTTATTATCATTTTAAAATTTGAAAATGAATAAAAGTGATTTTTTCTATACATATATTATTTTATTCAATCCACCCCCTCTAAAATTTAAATAAATTAATACAATTGATTCAAGTAACATCCAATTTCAAAATCAAAAAATTAATCTCACATACGTGTCGTCACAATATTTCAAGTTTATTTTTTTATTAATTAAAAAGGGTCAACCAAATCATAGTGGATTATATGAAAATAAATAAATTATTAATTAAAAACCCTAACTTTAATTCCTAGGAGTCAAATTATTAATTATTAATTAAATCTTAGACCATATATACTAAGTAGATTCCCTCTTTTTTACAGCCCCTTTTGTTACCCATTTAAGGGGCAAAAAATGGAATTTATCTATTTAATAAAATAATTAAAATTATTGTTGTACAAATTATTATTAAATAAATGAAGCTAGTCATCACTACTAGCAAGAATAATTTAGGGGGCATGAATAAATTATTACTTCCTTTTTTTTTTTTTTTTTTTTTTTTTCTTTCTCTACTATTTATTGCGGGTGTCAAAAGTAAACCTGACCCGAAAAATCGAACTCGTTCGACCTGAAATTTGGTTTGGGTTTGGGTATTTTCGGATTTGAAAAAAATCGGGTCGACTCGAACCCGAACGAAAAAAATTTGTGTTGTGTTCGGGTTGTGTTTTGGGTTGACCTGATAATATGAAATATAAAAATCATGCTAGGTTTTGGATTTCGTGTTTCGGGTTGACCTGAAATTTTTATTATTATTATTATTTTAATTTATAATATTTATATTATTTTATATTTAAAATAATATAAAAATTAAAATAAAATAATATTTTTTAGATCAATTTAATTTTTTTTAAAAAATTTTGGGTCTGTTTTGTATCGGGTTCGTATCGGGTTTGTTCGGGTTTCGGATAACCTGAAACTAATTCAGGTCAATCTGAACCCGACTTGAAAGAATTCGTGTCGTGTTCGGGTCTAGGGTTTCGGTCAAATTTCGAGTTCGAGTTGACAGTTTTTTTTTATTATCCCCGTAGCTCAACCCAACACGAACACGACTCAAACACACGAATTGACACCCTACTATTTATCATCAATATTTAGTATAATTAATTAAGTAATTAGTTAATTATTTAATGATTCTTAAAGCCCAAAACAAATCAAATCTTATGGGAGACAAGTTTTAGTATGTTTCACTTTAATCCCTAGTAATTAAAGTAGGAATTTTTATTATGTCTAATTGATTTATTTTCCATCATATATAATTCTTGGAAATTCCCAGAATTTATTTTATAAATATTTATGTTGCATGTAAATATATTTTGAAATTTTGAATTTATTTTTTTTAAAAAAAGTACAAAATTAAATAAAAATAATAAAATTTTATTCTCCCTTGTAAAATATCACTAAAGATCATCTTACACTATTATGCAAACAACAAATACAAATCAAATGTATCATAAGTTGCTAATGTAATATAAAAATGCATTCAATGTCATTAAAAAGCAAATAAATTGAAGAATAAAAAATTTATTTGTATTTTGTTTGTAAAATATTTATATTTTAAAATTTACTTGCAAAAGGTAAATGATTATATTAAGGTTGGATGAACTGAAATTAAAATCTCCATGCAAACGGTAAAATTTTGTACAATTGAGTTGTTTTTTTTTTTTTTTGATGACGTGGGAACCCGCAGCTGCTATCCGAAAGTGCGCACTGGGTAAACCCCCGGTCGAACCTAATACCCTGCAAATCAAGTCCGACGGGAAAGTCACACTAGGCGAACCATGTGTGACAAGTGACCTGAGGCGTCGGAGGTTTGAATTCACAAGTCCAACCCCCTACACCACTAGGTCATCCCTTACGCGAATGTACAATTGAGTTGTTTGTTCATAACGGATGTATTCTAAGTGTTTTTTTTTTTTTTTTTACAATCTTAAAAATACATTATTTTTTATTAAATAATCAATTGTAAATTATTATTCAAATAAAAATACATTTGAACCTAATCGGCCATTAAAATTTTTAATTTCATCTGCTTATAGTTATTCTAAAAATAACCTTACAGTTCGTTTAAATAAAAAATATTATAATTTTGAAGTTATAAAAAACTATAAATAATAGATTTTGAAAATATCATTCAATATTTATTAATATATAATGTCAATTTTTTAAAATATTATTAATATATAATGTCAATTTTTTTTAAATATAACTTACCTAGAAATTTAACCCCTAAAGTTTGTCTCATTTTCTTTTACCTCCACAATGATTGATTGCTTCTCAAAGATGCTATTGACCCACCCCACCCCACCCCACATACACATACATACATACATTTCTTTAGATAAAAATGTAGAGGGAGCATCACAATTAATTTATTATTACCATTAAAGGAAGAAAATAGTGTTTTTCAAGTAATTAAAATTGCAATAATAATAATAATAATAATAAAAGATATTAAAGCACTTTGTCCCTCATATTGGCCCATACATTGTCTCCTCCATTGCCCCCTTTGATTTGATAACTTCCCACTTGATTGAAAATCAATTTCCTCCATTTCCATTTCCATTCCCCCTTTCTCTCCAAATTTCATTTTCTTAAATCCATTCTTTTCACCTCAAAATATATCAAAAAAAATATATATATACATATAATTCATCAAAATCCCCAATACATATATATATATATATATATTCAAAATTTTGAAGAAGATGATGCCCAATGACCCCGCCGGCGGCGACGGCGGCGAGCCGTCGAATTCCACATCATCAAGACCAGCGCCGTCGGCCGATCACCCTCAGCCGGCGCCGGCACCGGCGCCGCCGCAGCTGAGCCGGTACGAGTCGCAGAAGCGGCGCGACTGGAACACGTTTGGACAGTACCTCCGGAACCAGCGGCCGGCGGTGGCGCTGTCGCAGTGCAACTACGGTCACGTGCTGGACTTCATGAGGTACCTGGACCAGTTCGGGAAGACCAAGGTCCATATCAATGGCTGCGTCTTCTTCGGGCAGCCCGAGCCCGCCGGGCCCTGCACCTGCCCGCTCCGCCAGGCCTGGGGCAGCCTCGACGCCCTCATCGGCCGCCTACGCGCCGCCTACGAGGAGAATGGCGGCGCGCCGGAGACCAACCCCTTCGCCAATGGCGCCATACGCGTCTATCTCAGGGAGGTCCGGGACCTGCAGGCCAAGGCCAGAGGGATTCCGTACAAGAAGAAGAAGAAGCGCCGGAAGCCCAACGATCCCACCGCCGCCGTCGCCGCCCCTAACCCATCTCCGGCCGCCGCAGCCTCCACCTCCGGCCTCCAGTCCTCCGCCGGAATGTCATGATCGATCAAATCGCTGTCTTCCAATGGTAATATATATATATATATAGTTGATTTTCTCAACTTTTACCTCTCTGCTTTAATTAATTCCATTAAATTCTTCGATTTTCCGAAACTCCATCGACGACGATCGACCATCGTAGCTAAAATCAAGCTCTTAAATTTAATTAATGTTTATCAAAATTGTATGATTTTTTCTTTCCAATTGTGCATTAATTTCTCATCCATCTTCTCAAGCTAAGAACCCTAATTTTCTGGCCATGGCAGAAACCCTAATCTGGAAAACACATATACTTATATATATATATATATATATTTGTTAGACATGAAATCTTGATCTTTGAATCAAATCAGAGACTGAAACACTTAGAAAAACACTCACTTTTTCTCCCCATTAAGAGAAGGAATAGGAACAAAGCTAAGAAACACATCAGGGATTTCAATTTCTTTTCTTTTCCTTTCTTTTCATTAATAATATTTATTTAATAAAAATATATTAGTATTTTAAATCATCTGTTATTGTTCACTTTTTTGTCTTTTGGGATTCTGCACGATCTTAATGCTAATCCAATTATAGGCCACAACACACAAATATATATATATTCATCATCTACAGGAAAACTATAAACTACTATTATACATGAAATTAAATAAAATAATTTATGTTCATATATATATTTCGATTGAATTGGAATCCATGGAATGAAATTTAATTAAACTAATATTTGAATATATATATATATATATAATTAGGATCGGACATTAGCATAGGATTGTCTTTTTCTTTCCAGAATTAACATGAGTTGTCCTTTTGTCTGTTGTCTATAAAAATGAGGAAGATGGGGTTTGTTGCTATATCATTTCTATGAAACAGTATTTAATTATGATATCAGGTCAGGTGTGTGTGTTGAGTAGCTTCGATCAATTCCTCCCTCTTCATTTTCTCAGACATGTCTTTTTCCTTTTACCATTTTTGTTCAATCATTTTCAATTTTTTTTCTTCAACATACGATTCCTTTTTCTCACACCCTTTTTTCCCATTTCTTTTATTTTTATTTTTATTTTCATATATATATATATATATATATATATTGGTTTGACAGATTATTGGGTTCGATGAATTAAGTGTAACTTAGTACTTAAATTATTGCGTACAACTTATTTATGTCGAGGATCATTTTATTTTATTTTTTTGGCCCGCAACTTGCATCTAGTTATTGCTCGTTTATTTAATGATTATTGTAGTAGGCGAGAAAGATAATAGCTGTTAATATATAGTGTGTCGCTTGTTTAAGACTTTTAGTTAGTTAAAGCGATTGATCGGGATTAGTTTTGTTCAAACATTAGAAACCCTAGCTCAATACGATTCGTAGTTGAAATAGTGCATTTCCATTCTTTTGTTAGATAATTCGGCTATGATGTCCGCATCAATTTATGAATCAATAATTTTGTTTTAGATGTCGGATATGCTTTTTACAATAATTGAATTTCTTTAACCTGCGTCATTTTTATTTTTCGTTTTATATGACCTACATATGTTCATGTACGTTTCTTTTCTTTCTTTTTCGCTCTTTCTATATAGACACGCTACACATAGCAATAGTTAGGTGCTAAATGATATAGGCAGATAGAACACGTAGTATAAATTAATAATACAAAATTTATGCTAATTTGATACAAAATGCAATATATATATATATATGAAGTGACCGTATATGACAATAGTTTTGCAATATATGCTACTACTATTAACTCTAACACAATAAATTTGTGTATACTACATACATGTAAATATAATTTGTTAGTATATGTTGTAGTAGTTGAAGTCATGTATTAATAATTCATATTTTATGTACTGATTATAACTTATTTAATAATTAACCTTAATCGACACACTAAGTATTCAGTTTTATATATATAATATCATTTATTTTCATGTTAAATTAGAGTTTAGCTTGGACCAATAACCAAAGGATTTCACTCCGCACTTGGATTTTATCTTCGTGTGTGCTTAGTATTTTGCTCGAAAAGTATTTAAGTTAGTCGATTTCAAACATATAACTTATTTTTTAGTGTAAGTGAGTCGCGGGTGTATATTACTTAAATTGACAAAGCTCTATGAACTTAATATAATTATCTAGGATATAATATCTTTATATATCAAATGTTTACACAAAAGAAATTAAATTGTATATTTGTTGTAACTATTGAAATGCTTGAATTAATTAAGCTTATATAGCTTCTCAATATCATTAATATTTTGAGTTTTGGTGTATTTTAGGTCAAATATATATATATATATATATTGATTCGATTAAATTATCAATGAGCACGTGATTATATATAAAACCATGCATATATACATATCTTTTAGTAAAAATGCATAAAACACTATTTATTTTATTTATTATATAAAATCCTCTTGTGTTAATGTAAAATTTGCATGAAAAAAAGCCTATTGTCCAAAGCTAATGTTTGAGTCTAACTGATATCTAAATTACCCAGGTTTTATACAAATAAAAAAGTAAATATTATAAATAATTTTTTTGAACAAAATAAATAAATAAGTAATTGATTAATCATTCACTTTATAATTATTTCGAGACAAATTGTTATCTAATTTTTTTTAAAAAAAAATATAGAAATAAATGATTGATCAATTATTTATTTATTTATTTTGGTCAAAAAATTATTTAAAATACTTTACATTTTTTATTTGTATAAAACTTGAGTAATTCAGATCTTTATTTAGACTCAAATATTAGCTTTGGACAAAGAGGATGTCTCGTGCAAATTTTACATAACACAAGGAAGTTTCATGCAATAAATAGAATACGATGTGTTTTATACATTTTTACTAAACACAATAGGGTGTTATATAATTACCCTTAGTTTTTTTTTTTTTAATCTTAACCCAATTGATGATAGGTGGAATGGTTATTTATCCTTATTCTCGTATGTTTTCCAATATGGGACATATTCAATATAAACTTTTAATGAAAGCAATATATCCTCAATGTCTTTAATAATGTGTTGTATCTTCTTAAATTCCTCATCTGTTCTTCCAAACATTTCCAATAGAATAAATGCTAATACCTTCTTGTGAAAAATTTTCGTTGTTTTAGTCCTCCGGCGCCGGAGACGCCCGTGTGGCTCGCCGGAGGTGACGTGTCCGTTAGGTGTCCCGCCAGGTCAGCGACACCTGGCGAACACGTGGATTTTTTTTTTTTCATTTTTTTAATTTTTTTTAATTGGACCAAATAATAAAATACAAATAAAATTAAAAATAAATTAAAAATAAGTTTCAAAAAAAAATTTAAAAATGAAAAAAAAAATAAAAAAATCCACGTGTCCGCCAGGTCAGTGACACCTGGCGGACACGTCACCTCCGGCGAGCCACGCGGGCATCTCCGGCGCCGGAGGACTAAAACAGCGAAAAGTTTTCACTTATGGGATTAGTTTGCGACAGGCTCCACTTACGGGACTAAAATGATAAGAGGGTCCAATTACGGGACTAAAAAAACAATTTACCCTAGATTTTATATGTAGTTTGTATATATATATATATAATGTTATACTATTTATTTCCCTGACTTTGAAAGTCAAAAAAATATATAGGTATAATTTTGTGAAATATTTAAGGTTACTTTATAATGTAACCGATCGAATATTTGAGGATAATTAATAGATTGGGGTATATCAAATTTTTATTTCATCGTAAGAATTTGGGATAGTAATTGACTGTGTTTTTTTTTTTTTTTTTTTCTTCCCTTCTTCACAATATTCAATATTATTTCTTCTAAAAATATTTTATTTTCTCCAACAAACACCAAATCTAAACTACAATTTAAAAAATAAAAAAATCACCAACTTGAAATTTTTGTAACGAATTGTAAAACAAAAATATGAATTAATAAAAAACACAAGTAGGATGAAATAATGCCAGAAAATTCTTATAAATTATATGGTTATGTGTTAGATAGTCATAATATGGCATTATACACATTGGCTGAGTTGTGTAATTGCTTGCAATTACTTTTATTATTTTCAATAACCACTTTACACATATAATCTAATAAAAATATATTATTTTATTTCACAAAATATCGGCTAAAAATACTATTATATATATATATATATAAATTCAAACTAACACAAATCCAAACAAAACAAACCACCAGGCATACATTAATCTTTGCTCTCCCAAGAGATCTTATAATACCTATTATCATGATTTCTCTTTCTATTTATGCTTGAGAATATAATCCTTCATGTCCCTTCTAGTAAAACCAAAGTGTTTTGATACCACTTTATTGGATCAAAGGCAAAAAGAATAGGACACGATTGAAGACGATAATATATATATATATATATATCAATATATGAAAGAAGTATGTTTGATTGTAATTTGAAATTGTAATTCTGATTTGAAGTTTAATTTAAATAGTATTTTGATATAATATTTTATAAAATAAATAATATATTCTTATTAGAGACGGTACCGAGTAAATAGTCTGAATTGTAATTTTTGAAATAACGAAAGAATAAGTTAATCAAAACTAATTAATATTGTTAATGTTAGATGATATTAAATGATCGTCTTATCTAAAAATTTAAATTTAAAGGAATATACATAATTTATATATTTATATTAACGGGAGTCAACCAACACACTCTCTCCCGTGCAAGAGGATATACGCCACCATACGAATCTTGCACGTGGACGACGACAAATGAGGATGATGAAACTCGAATACGGACATCAACCTATAATTTAAATTTTATTCAATTTCTAACATCCCTTCTTAAACTTAAATTTGCACTCCAATGAGACTTATGAATCAAACAAAATTCTCATACTTCAATGGTTTGGTAAAAATGCCGATAGCATCATTCTTTATTTGTAAGTGATTGACCTAACTAACGTCTTTCTCGGCTTGCGACTTTGAATTCTTTGCCGGTAATATCATGTGGCAACTTCCTTTCTAGTATTGTGAAATTAGGTTTTTGCCAATATTAATCCTGATAAATTGCCAATAAAGGCTTCAAAGGTAGTTTTATATGGAAAACGGACTTCCTTCAAGAGTGCTTGCAATCAAATTATATGACACACACATTCAATTGTTGCTACAAGATTAGCCTCAAGTGGACAACATAAAAATTTGTTGGTTTTTTTTAAAACTTTAAGTGAATCCTACATTTCGATAGAAGAAAATAAAACTCGATCTACTTTTAGATCATCTATATATATATATATATATTTCATCCACGATTGCTATTAGAGAACAAGCTTAGCCTCACAAGTGCACAACATGACAATTGGTTGGCTCTTTAAACTCTAAGTGAAACTTATATCGCCATTAAAAAAACAAAAAACAAAACAAAACGTTCAATGTACTATATCAATCATCCACATTTCCTCCCCATTTGTTACTTGAAAATTATCTTGTTACCATACTTTCCCACCTTAAAAAAATATGCATATATATATATATATGTATATTTATTATTTTATTGCTTAAAATCAAACTTATTATTAAGTGCAAGAGTAAACCCACTATAGAAGTGATGAGTTTTGAGACTCTAGGGTGCTAGAAGCCTCCGCATCGACTAAGGCATGTGGTGAAAATACAATTACTATGTAAGAGAACATCCTCCGAGAGAGAGAGAGAGAGAGAGAGAGAGAGAGAGAGAGAGAGAGGCCCTTCGAAGGTCTGACTCAAATGAAAGAGCCTCCCGAGTTCGACTCGTTAAAGATTCGAGCTGAAATTTTTGATTGAGCTCAGCTCGTTTTGCAATTTTTTTGTTCGTGTTCAGCTCGGCTCGTTAAAAAGATATATATATATATTTTTTTTATTTTTTTTAAAAAATAAATTCAATTAATAATAATTATAATTTTTCATTAATAAATTTAAATAAAAAATAGAATGAAATAAAATATTTATAAAATTATATATACTTAAAAATATAAAAATATTAATTTAATTTTTCTAATAAATATTGTCGAACGTTCGCAAACAAGTTCGAGTTCGTTTGTGAACATAACGAGCCAAAATTTATGTTCCTATTCGGCTTGTTTAACTTGACGAACGAGTTCTTAACAAGCTCAAGCAAACCAGACTGAGCCAAGCTCATGAACTATTCATTTATTTTACAGCTCTAAAGAAGGATAGAATGCCAGTGATTTAGTGACTAATCTATTTCCACGAGAAGAAAAAACTTGCACGTCAAGATTACCATGACGTCCGCCGATTAACCTCTAAAGTTGTGAGGGCTGAACAATTCCTTCATGAAGTCCATACCTCTCGAGCCCCATTTTATGTGGGGGTTGAAAAAAACGATCTTGACATCGAAAAAGAGTTAAGAGGATATTTGTTTGATATGAACGAGCCAAGGTTAGGTCTACACATGTCCATCCTTGAGGGTCTCCATCTATAAGAAGGTCAATTCGAAATTCCAAAATTCTTTTGATATTAATTTAAGAAACAAAACAGATTTTTTTAGTATATTTGAAAAATTAACGAGATTCAATAAAGTAAACACCAAATCCTCCGTGGTAATTTTTCTATTCTCCTATACCATCCAATAAAATGATTACATTTGTAAGAATAAATAGGAGAGAATATATATATATATATAGTAATTATTTAGATTTAGATATATTTTTTGAATTATATATTAATTATTTAATCCTTTCACTTATTTTAAAATTAAAAATAAAATAAAACTTATAGTTTATTCTTATTTGTATTTATTTTTTTATTATCATTCATTTATATTTTTTATAAATATATATTATTTTTTACAAAATATTACACTCAACATTATATATAAAAAATTTAATACAAAGTAAATTCTTAAAATATATATATTTAAATTTAATTTCATCCAATATTATAGAAGTCTATATTTTTATTCTCTCTTCGTCCCATAATAAAAATGTCATTTACTTTTAGCATGAACCTTTTTATATATTAGTATTATTTTGTTTATAATACAACTTATGTAAAATAATTTATACCCTTAATAAAATATTTTTTACTAAAAATAATATTTAGTCCTTAATGTCTATTCAAATCTTGAAATGAAACTAACAAAATAACAATTATGCTATTTTACCATTTAAAATGACTTATATACAATAGTAAAAATTGATGTAAAATGAATTATATAATTTTATTATGCTATTTTACTATTTCTTTTAATAAAATATCCTACCTATGTAATAAAAAAATTAAATATGAAATTATAGATCCTTAAGTATTATATAAAAAATTGAATGTATTTAATTTATTATATAATTTTGCATGTATAAAAATAATTAATTTTTACAAAAATTGTAAAGTAACATGAAAAAAATTAAAATTAAAATTAAAATTGGATATAATATTTATTTTTTTAAAAAAAAAAGACTGAACATACAAAATAATGAAGATTGAATTTAAAAAACATTTTTAATTCTAGCTAAATGCTATACTATTTTCTCTTATTTATTACTACTATATATTCCCTCCGTCCCAAAAAATGGTATAAAGTAGAAGATAAAAGACTAAAATACCCTTGTTTTTTTTTAATGATTTTAAAAAGTAGGTTAGAGTAATAATTATTGGTAGTTTGAAAAAATATAAATAATTTTGTTATAAAATGAGGACCACAATTACTAAATAAGGAAACAAAGACAATTGTTTTGGAACGGACGAAAATGAAAAAACAATACAACTTTATTGGGACGGGAGTATATAATTATTTTATTAGATGGAATAAGGAAATAGAGAAAAATTGGCACATACATCTTTCAAAAAATTCAACAAATATTAGAGTACTTTTGTATTCTTCTAATATATGACATTTTTTTATACAATGATATACATATAGTTATATTTGTACTTAATTTTATTTAAAAATAATAATTTTGATATAAATATAAATATATGCACATCATTTATTTTACATAAAATAAAATATGAGGTGAAAGTGAAAAGAAACTTCCAATAAATTTTTTTGATACAAGTGCTCTAAGAAACTTCCACGTAGAAGAAAGTCTCCAAACACATTTTTCACTTCCACCTTATACGGGGTTTGTTTCTTTTCCCCAAAAATTTCAGTATACTATTTTAACTCTGTATTTTTCGAAATATATATATATATTTTCTTCATAAAATATCTTATATACATTATTTTAATATCAAAATCAAACTAATTTTTTTTCCAAACCGATCAAAAAACACATATCGGTACTCTCTTTTATGGTACTCTCTTTTATATCATCATAGTCTATTTTCTTGCCCAAAAGAAAAGAAAAAAAAAAAAAAAAACATATGTATTTATAGTTATTTCAACATAATTTAATTCTAAAATTAAATTTAATAAAAATATATTAATATAAATATTATTTTATAAAAAATAAAATATTATATAGCACAAGGATATAAAAATAAATATAATAAAAATAGATATTAAAAGAAAAGGTACTTTTGGATTTAGGGATGGATAAAGTTACCGAACATATCGAAATACCGACTTATCGTACCGTATCGTGTCGAAAATATCGAAAATCTCGGTATAGTATGGATATCGTACCGAAGTTTTCGATATGGTATCGGTATGAATTTTCAAAAAGTTCGGTATTTCGGTATGATACTGTACCGATATTATTTTTATTAAATAATTTAATTATTAATATAAATAATAATTATTAATATTTTTTAAAATTATAACAAAAAAAAATGTAAACTATTGAAAATTTATTGGTTTCTTCGTAATATTTTTGTGGTGGAGAATAGTGATTTTTGTTAATTCTTTTAATTATTTTGAAATTTAAAATTATATTTTCGGTATAATCGGTATATACCGGTATCTACCGAAATCAAAATTTTCGGTATAAGTGGTATATACCGGTATCGTATCGAAATTGAAATTTTCGGTATAAACAGTATATACCGGTACCGTACCGAAAATTTCGATATACCAAAATTCGGTATATTGAAACTTTCGGTACGATACCAATTTATATTTTAGTCATACCAAAAAGTTTGATACGAAATCGATATGGACACATATTTTCGGTACAGTATTGCATGCAATCCCTAGTTGGGTTGCTGCAACCCAACAACAAAAATATATAAATATATATATATAATATATATATATTTAAATGCTAAAGGATGGCGTGGGAAATTCAAGTGATCGTCCAAAGTGAATTTTTGAACAGTAATAAATATATGTATTTTATTATATAAATTATATGTGTATTTAGTAAAACAATACACAAAATTTGGATATTCTTTTATACATTCATAATTTAATTTACTTTGTTATAAAAAATTAGGGATCGTGATAGTAACAATGTAAGAAATGTAATAAGAGCCCATATTAAATAAAACATGGGCAGGGAAAAGGCCCAACTACAAAATCACTTTTTAAAGGTACCAAATAAATAAATAAAGTTAATTGAAGTAGCTTACCATTTTTAATTAAATATTACTCTTCAAGTTTGATTAAGGACGATCTAAAATTAAAATAAAAGTTTCTATAGACAATAACACTCCATCCATCGATTTAAAGTTAAAATAAAAGCTTCTAAAAATATCAACAATAATATTTTATCGAACAAACAATACATCTCAAGTTGAAATGGAAGTTTCTAGAAACCCAACTTTAATACTTCATCGACATGAAATTTTTATATTTTAGATAGCGACGGCAGATTCCACGTCATAAAATAAAAATAAAAATAAAATAAAAATAAAAGTCTCTAGAGATTCTAACAATAACATTTATCGATCGATTGATAGATCTAAAGTTGAAATGAAAGTTTCTAGAGACACCAACAATGACTTCTTCGATACTTTTCGAACAAGGCAAGAGAATTACATAACAAAACAAACACAAGAAAGCTCATCCAACACATACAATAAGCCACAATCAAACCATCCTTTTGTTCTTACCACGTCAAGGTTGATCCAAGAAAAGCTCGTCGAGGAAAATAAGAATGTCGAAACCTCGCGAATTTGTTCTTACAAGTATCGCTCACCTCGTCGTAAATAATAGTATAGTTCGAGCTGCTCACATTCCTGTAATAACACGTCTCTCCGGTTGCGGCGCTCTCGTATTCTTGCCTCGTACTTCCTAACCCGCTCGAGACCAAGTTCCCCTTCACCACCATATACCCGTCGCCTTTCTGCACGTTCTTGACCTTCCCGTAAAACGTTAGCCCCGATTCTGACACCCTTTCCGAATCCTCGTTCATTCCCAATGTCACGTTCGCTACAGAGTCGTAAGTTCCATTCCCTTTGTCCACGTCGGTGGAGCGAAGGGAAATGGTGAATTTTTTCCTCAACTTGGCGGAGGAACCCGCGGGAGAAGATGGGGTTTTAATTTCGACGGTTGCGTTCAAATTCACGACTTGATCGACGGCCTGCGAGTTCCCGTCGTTATCGATAGTCATAACGTTAGTACACGTAAATCCCTGTCGCGAATGGGTCGTGATCATCCCGTGCGACGAGTTCACCCATCCGACGGACACGATCGACCGGCTAGCGTTGGTTACGAACGATCCATCGAGGCCCGTAAAGTTCGAGACGAGGGACAACGATAGGGGCGAGCTCTCGTGCTTTAACAACGCCCCGTGCGTCGCGGAACTTTTCCCATCCAACCATAGATGCAAATTTGCGTCGACGTACCAAACGTTTAATGCGTTTGTTACGCTAAACCCGATCGTATGCGACTTCCCGTCGAGAAGCTTCGCTAAAAACGGCGTGATTTCGATGTCGTAAGACGGGACGTTGAACGAGCCAATGCCGGTGATCGGACGCCACAAAAGTGGGTTGACGCCGCCGGTGTAGATCACGGTGAACGGAGATATTGCTCCGATGATAATCGATTCGTCTAAACTTACGACGACTTCCCGGAAAGGGCCGTTGCCGGCGGCGCCGGAGATATTGTTTGCAGCAATGTAGTCGTTTGGAAGATTTTGGTAATAAAATTCGTCGTTCTCATGGTAAGATACGTAGAGTTCTAACACAGCTCTGTAAGAATTCAATGGAATCTCGATCGATTTGGACATAATTTGGGTGGAATTGGTAATTTCGAACCACAATCCATCGTTCAATGGCAAGTTTCGAGAAATTGGAAGTATCAAATCGGCTGAAATTGGAAACCCTAATTTTTCCCCCAATTTGTTGTTCCCATGGCGGACGACCTCGGCGGGGTAGAAATGGAGGCTAACGTTGACGTGATAAACGCCGGTGTAAGTTTTATCGACGACGTTGCCCAAATAAACGGCGAGGGTTTGATTACCGGTCAGAAGGAGGGAACGGTACCTGGTGACGTCTTTTTTGACGGTCCAGAAAATGCCGGCGGCGGTGGGCTCCGCCGTGCAGCTGCGGAGGAGCTCGACGCCGCCGAGCCAGACGCCGAAGATCCGGTCGAACTGGCGGCCCTTGCAGGTGGCGGACCATTCGAGGACGATTTTGTCGAAGGTCTGAGAAGGGCAGTCCGTCGGCGGCGAGTAGGCGGCGGCGACCGGCGGGCGGGTGTAGGTGTAAGCGAAGTCGTGGCGGAGGAGGAGGTAGGAGCAGGGAGTGGTTTTGGGGAGGGAGATGGGTTTTGTGACCTCGAAGAATGTGGTCGGAGCCGCGTGCGGCGGCGGCTCCGCCGTGGCTTGGGATCGGAAGAGGGCGGAGGTTTCGCGGAGGCTGGCGGCGGCGGCGGCCGGCGGAGAGAAGAGGAGGAGGAGGAGGAGAAGGGGAGCCATTGGGGGAGGGGGGGGGTACGGTGGGGTACGGTGGTTTGGATATTTAGTGGAGTTTGGAGTGAAAAACGAGATCTGATCGGCATTGTAATGATCAGACGAAATTTAAATAAAAACTTCAATGAATTATTTTATTTATTATAAGTTAAAATTTAGAACAAAATAAGTATTAAGGGAGAAACATTTGTATTAGTCTCTTTTGGAAATCGATGACTAGTAGGGATAAGGGCGTATTTTGCTTCAATTTGGATTTGGGTTTAAGTTTTTAATGGTAAATTTTTTTATTATTACATTGACTTGGATTTGTTTGTTTTGATTTGAATTTGAGTATAATATTTTATAAAGAAAATACTGCCTATTGCACTTGGGACATAAAATAGAGAACCTCTCACCATTTAATTTATATAGCTTAAATCAATATAATTAAGTATGAATGTAAAATATATGTTATGTATTTTTAATAAATACAATACTATATAATAATAAGACATTTGTGTTGCCACCAAAAAAGGGAAAGAAGGATAATTTTTCAATTGTTAAATTATAGTATTCACTATCAATAAAAATATTTATATTTCTTATATTTTGTGCAGAAAAATATACTCCTTCGTCCCAAAATTATAGTGTTATTGTATTGGGCACGGGACGGGATGTAAAGAATATTGATATTATATTGATAGTAGGTAAAAAGTAAGGATAAATGATTTTTTTTGTCTTTTGAGTTTATTAGTGTAAAAAGTAGTGGCAATTATGTAATAATAATAAAAAAATAGGGATAATTCTAGGGTGATACGATTATTTATGGAAATGAGATTATTCTTTTGAAACCGACAAAAATGATAAGTATACAAGAAAATATATCAAAGTGTACATGTTGGGCCTAACTCAAGATAATGGGCCAAACCTAATGAGTCCAAACAAATTGGATCTTTATTGTATGACAAAATCATAGATTGAGGTTAATATTAAAGGCTCAAAAATTAGAAATAATAAATAATAAGATAAATTGCATAATACATTGTTTTATGAAAATTGCATCGAAAATCATATGTTCTATTTATTGCATAATGTATCTTTGTTGTTTAAAAATAGTGATTATTGAGAATCGGACACTTATTATGTAAATGACTTTAGTATTGAAAATATAAATATTGTAAATTTTTTATTAGAATCGTTTTTTTTTTAATCAAAAGAAATAATATTGATATAATATATTATATCTTTATTTTTATTTAAAAAATTAGATAAATTAATAAGAGATGCGTGATCTTATATTATATAGAAATAAAATATTATTAAAAATATAATATTTCATTGGTCTCATAAAAAAATATTATTTTTTATTTATATTTGTCTAAAAACAAGAGTGTCGTTTCTTAATTTAGTAATAATACTACCTATTTAATATAATATATCGTTACTATATTACACAAATATCATTATTTTTATATTATACAATACTAATAGGAGTATTTTTATTATTTTTTAATTACAAATCAATATAATACTAATATTAAAAAATTTACATTTAAAAAAAATAAATAATATTTTCTTGGGAATTGAGGAAATATAACAGTCTATTGCTTAAAAAAGGTAAATAGTTTATGTTGACCAAGTTTTTCTAATTTTGTGATTTTTGTCTAAAAAGTTAAAATCATATATTTATCTTCAAAAGTTATTTGCAAACTAGCTAGATATTTTTTATGAACAAAGAGAAAGAAAGAAAATCACAACAGAGAGGAATTTAAGAGATATTTTTGAATTTCTTCAATTGAATGAATGAATTGGTTTCTTGAGGAGTTATATACATATATATATATATAGTTAATTGAGAAAATTTTTTAAAAAAATATATCATACATCAAACTTAACTCATCTGAAAGCTGCTGAGAGGAAGGCACATAGACAAGATTAATGACTCCATTGGCATAGTGATGATGGATAAAGTGACAGTTTATGTTGATGTGTGTTCATGATGAACCAGATTCTTCACCATCTCTATGGTGGATAGACTCGCTGAGGATAGATATTAGTTGAGGAATGAAAATTTGAAAGTCACCTAAAAGATAGGTGATCTATAAAATCTTTGACACAGTTGAGGCTAAGGCCTGATATTAAGTTTCGGTAGATAAACGGGAGACAATAAGTTGCTTCTTCGTCTTCCATAATATTAGAGATGAACAAAAAAAATGTCAAAACCAGTGAGTGATTTACAAAAGTCTAAACAACAACACCAATCTCCATCAGCGAAGAAAGTGAGCGAAATATCATATTGGGAGGGAAAGAAAAGTTTGAGGTGTTTGGTGCCATGAATATAGTGCAACAGAGGTTGAGCAGCCTTCTAGTGTGGACTGTCGGACAAGACATGAATTAAGAGAATTGTTGGATAACAAAGGATAGATCGGGCCGAGCCATAGTGAGATATAACAACCTTCCAACAACACGACGATACAGAGTAAGCTTGTCAAAGGGAGTCATTTCTTGTTGGAGCTTACAACCAGAGACGAAAGGAGTGGAATTCACTCAAACCCGCATAAGCCAATATATCCTCAATAAATTTGTGGTGTGAGCATAAAGACCAAATGAGGTAGAGTCAATCTGAATGCCAAGAAAAAAATTTGCACAACTAATGTCTTTGATCGTGAGTTCTTTGTCAAGATAAGTTTTAACTTGAATAATGGTGGAGAGATCATTCTCTATTATTAAGACATCATCGACATAGACCAATAAGCAGTGTAGCCAGAGAAGAATGCCATAAAGAAGAGACAATTGTCAAGAGTAGACTTCTGAAAGCCAAAGTGAAGAATCTTATCTAAAAATTCTTTATACCATGTGAGGAACCATGTGCAGATCCTTCTAAACATGGCCATGGAGGAAAGCAATGTTGATGTCAAGTTGATGGATTGCCGAAATCCTTTGTCGCAACTATGACAAGTAATAAGCGCACAATCAAAACTTTAGCAACTGGTGCATATGATTCCATGAAATCACGACCTAGAATTTGGAGGAATCCCTTGACAACCAAGAGAGCTTTATACTTGTGGATAGAGCAAGTGACTGGAGGATCAATGGCAGTTAATTTTCATCTCATATTTTCTGCATTTTGGTGTAGTAAATGGAGACTGAGTCTTCTTCTTGAGTCATTGTAGAGATATTTTTACGCAATTGAAAAATGAGAGATAAGTTGTATTGACCATACTTCTCTGCTAGATTGTCCCAGAGTTGTTTGGTTGTCGGAGCAAATACAAATACATCCTGAAGATCTGGTGCAATTGAGTTTCTAATCAAGACTCTAACTATTGCATTAGCTTCAATCCAAGCTTCATTTGTTTAATCATCAATTGAAGGCATGGGCAATTGATTTGTGATGAAGCTTTGGTTACCTTTTGCCATAAGGGAGGTCCCGAACCGTACAAAACTATGTGATGAAGTTGTTGCCATTAAGGGGAATGGTTAAAAAAGAAAAACATAAGTGATATATGCAGTGGCTTAGTTAAGGAAACCCACAGGATTATCAGATTCCAGAATCAAGGATTTATGGAGCATATGAACAACAGCAAGGGATTTTTTGAGCATCAAACATAGGAAATCAATGGAAAGTAGAAACCTGTTTTGATACGATGATGAACAGAGAAAAAGAAAATCATAATACAAAGAAATATAAGAGGTATTTTTAGATTTTTTAGACTGAGTTAATAAATTAGTTTATCGAGGAATTACAGAAAAGATATATATAGCTAATCCAAAAAATTCTAAAAGAGAATCTATCATACAACAAACTTATAACTAACTAGTATACACATCAACAACCATGTGGTGAAAAGATTTCATCCAATATTATAAAATAAAAGATAAGTATATACAATATTTTTTTTTAAATAAAACAAAGGTGTGTAATACTCTAAAAAAAATAAAGATATTTTTATTTTTCAATCAAAAAAAGATATTTTTATATAGTAGAGTATTAAATAGCATAATTCTTTAATTTCTTAGTTTCGAAAATGACCAAAAATTGAACAAAAACACCGACACGAATATTACAAACAGAAGAAGAGAAGAGGCGAGGCGAGGCTGCTTCAAAGTTCAGACAACCAAATGGACATCAACAACAACGACAATCGGTATAAACCGTTTTCAACATGACCACAACAACTTCGCTTGTAAGAATATATGAGTGAGAAAAAAAAGAGAGATCTAGAGATAGAGAATAAAAACACCATAATTTGATTCACACAAATTTACTAAACTCTCGTACTCCTCCCTTCACAAGTTCCTTCATATTCGAACTCCATTTCACTTCTCCGATTTCAATTCGATTCCGATTGCGATTTCGATTTCGATTCCGATAATCAGCCACCGAGCTTTCGCGGCCTATTCGCACGCGAGTTTCGTCCCGAAGCTCGTCAGGCAAATGGCAAACGCCTGGAACGGCGACAAAGGGTGTCGATAGTCCATCGTAAAAGTGTCATCTCCGACCTTCCCGAACTGAAGCAGCATGGTGTCACCGTCGCCCTTCCCGCCTTGATCAGCGGCAGCTGCGACGAGCTGGAAGTTCTTAACCGACGCCACCGTCACCCTGCCGTGAAAGTTCAAGCACCAACACTGCAGGTGTTCGTGCCACCTCGGCGCTTTGTTCTGCAGAATCACGCGATCGTTGGGATCGTCGTCTTGACCTTTGTTGTCCGGCGACGGCGATGGGGTCGAGATCGAGCACACCATTCTCCGCGGACCTCTCGATTTAAAGAGATTGAACTTGTAAGAAACTTGGCCAACTTCGAAGTTCCCGGCCGGGACTTGTGGGCTTATCTGCTTGCTCCCGACTCGCCTGCTCGCTCGACTCGTCGACGCCTTTGCGCCCCTGTGGGGCGCTTTGCTGTCGTAGATCGTGAAATTAGTGCCGAGGAAATTTGTCCTGCAGATAATTGTATTGTATAGATCATTGTAAGTAGTCGAATTTAGCGAAGAGGGCGCGCAAATGTATCAAAAGAATGACAATGTATTGATACTAAACCAACATATGTTGCGCCGATGAGTATGCGGATGGTTCGGGGTGAATTCATTACCTTATTTTCCCGACGTAGGATTTGCTTCCTTGCGATAAATCGTCAGCATCGAGAGATATGATGAACTCTGAGTGTACGCGTTTTCTGTATCTTCTTGCGGCGAGGAGAAACTTTCCTTTCTCTGTGAATGCTGTTGGAACCATAGATGAGAAATGCAGAATTTGAAAGAGACACGGTGCATAGAGGTAGAGCAATGGCTATGGAGTTATTCGACAATTAAAATAATCAAGGATTGCGAAAGTCTACTTACACTGAGGCAGAGCAAGATAGAGGTAGTACGTCTCGTTCCTCTTGTCTCTTTTAATAAGACATTGGACAGGAGAGTCTTCCGGCCCCGGCTGCATTACATATAAAAAGCTCGAAACGCTTAGAAATTTGGCATATCTTGATGGAACTATGCATTCTTAATCCAAAACATATCATAGAAAGTAACAACCATGAAACAAGGATTATCTCTGGTTGAATTGGTTAAACCAGAGGATCATTTGTTCTAGCTTGTTATCGATTGTAAAACAATGTTTCCAGGAATTGGAAATTCGAAGAACTTCATATGTGCTAGCCTGTTATCGATTGTAAAACAGTATTGCCAGGAGTTGTAAATTTGAAGAAACTATGCACTACAGAGAAGCAAATCGTAGAATTCTCATTAACCTCCCCACCATTTTAGATATTCAGAGCCTTGAAAATTGAAAGCGTGCTTAACCTACCACGTTGTCTTTCATGTTTTGTTTAATATACGAACAGAAGAGCATTGGATTGAATGGGAAATTGAATGAAGCATGAAGAATTAGGGATAGACTGAATAGTTTAACAACAGTTTGATCAAAATTGTTAATCACAAACCAGAACATGTTGAACATCAAACCACGAAATGCATTCATATAAACAATTCGAACCAAAAATAATAATTGAATAATCGAAGGAACATTTCCGAAATCAAATCGAAAGGATCAGTCAAAATTGATACAATCTACAAAAATAGTTATATATATATATATATATATATAATATAGTGTACCTTTTTGAGAGAAGAAGTAAACGTAATTTTCCCTGGCTGACGAAGGGAAGCCTTTTCGACGGCTTCCCCAATAGCTTCCCTCCACTGCTTGCAGACGCCGCCACATGCGACGACGTTTTGTCTCTGCGGCCATTGATCCTCGCTAGCTTCCACTCGCCGCATTATTTCCCCTAACAGCTCCGGTAGCATATCTCCCCAGGAACCCCCAGATTCGCCTGACGGAACGACGCCGCACTGCTGCCTCCGCAGGATGATTCCACCGTCACGATTATTTTCATCGTTCTCCGCCTTTTTAACCTCCCCGCCGAGATGATGATCATAACATTTCTTCTGCGATTCGGATTCTGATTCTGAATCCGATTCCGATCGTGATTCTGAGTGCCCGAAGGAATGGGAAATGATTCCTCCCCACAAAATCGATCGCACCAGCGACATCTCGATCGATCGGCCCGGCGAGAGGGCGGGCGGGGCGGAGGAGGGAATATCGGAGGAATCTGTCTCTACGGAGGGGAAGGAGAACAAACCATGAGACACCAAACACGTGATATATATGTATGAGCAGAACCGGATATAACGTGCTCTGCCTGTCACCCAAATGCTGGTGACGGACGAATGGAAATATCGACACGTGTACGCTACAGACAAATGGACACGTCATTTTCTACGGAGGCAGTGGTGGGTTAGGTTAGGGTAATATTTTTTGAATGGTTCCACTACAACGACGTCGTTTTGTTCTGAAAATCCCGTTGCAAATTTTAACTTATTATTCTTCCACTCTTTAAATTTTAAATAAAATAAAATACTACTATTATATTCGATTGTATATTCTGAAAATATTATATGAAATATTTATGTTTAATTTATTATTAGTATTATATAAACAGGTGTTTTTTTGGATTTGGATGGTGTAAATTTCGTTTTTGAATTTGATATTAAAATAATACTATCTTTTTAAAAATGTAAAATTTAAATAATAAAATTTGAGAAATTAACTTTAGTCGAAAAAACACATTATTTGGTTGAGTTTGTATTGTTTTAATAAAATATTTATATTTATTTATTTTATTTTTTTCCAAACCACTCAAATCATTATTACACAAATCCAAATTAAGAAAACAAGCCCGATCTTGATTTTCTTTTTGAAATTTTTTGGAGTAAATTTTTATTTAAATCATAATTTTAATTTATTGGAGAATAAGAAAAACCAAGAAAAACTTTTTTGATTTTGTTTTTGATTTGAAATTGAAATTTTGTTTTAGTTTTGAAATAAAATAATGTATTTTATTCAAAGTAGTACGTACCGATAGAATTAATTTTGGTTTAAAATACAAAAAAAAAGACACCATTATTAAGTTGTATTTTGCTTTTTTCTTTTGCTTTTTTTTTTTTTTTAATGACATAGGAACCAGCCGCCGCTATCCAAAAGTGCACACTGGATAAACCCCTGGCCGAGCCTAATGTTGTATTTTGCTTCTTAATTATATGATTGCAATTTAATATGATAGCTAACTAATTTAATTATAGTGATTTGATACTTAATTAGAACCATGGAAAATTTGAGTGACAAAACATATTGCTTTTTGAGTGATTAAAGCACCTGGATTTTGGAAATAACTAATTTAAATTAGTTCATTTTGTTTTATTTGATGCAACCATAATTTGTTTATATGATTCTATAATACTCCCTCCGTCCACTCGTAAAGTATACAATTACTTTTTGCGCGGTGCTTAAGAAATAATAGTATTTTAATTATAGTGAGTAGTTAAAAGTAATGTAATGACATTTTTTGTTTTACTTTTTGATGTAAAAGTAATGATGTAATGTAAAGTAATGGTATTTGTGGAAAAAAAATAAGATATTTAATGAAATATTTACTTTGTAATTGAACATCCCAAAATAGAAATATGTATACTTTCTAACTCAACGGAGGGAGTATTAATTATGTTGTATATAATTTTATTATTTCGTTTATGATGTCTCTAATTTGAAAGTTTTTTATATTGAAAAATAATCTTTTATATCATTTGAGTAAAAAAATAGATATTATTTCACTTAATTTTATTTGCATTTTTTATTATTCAATATCTCATATTTATTTTAAATTATAATTTTCAATAATTATTTTACTTTAAATATCAAAATAAATACCAAAAAAAAAAAAAATCAAGCAAACAAATAATTTGAATGTTATTGGGTAAGAGATAATATAAAGAAACTAAATTAGATGATATTTTATTAAAAATCAATAATGGTATAAAGTTCAAATAAATGAAATTTGCAATTTTATAGGTTTAAATTTTTCCATTGTTTTTTAAAGCACAATTTAATAAAATTAAGAAATTGTTCGGAAGTGTTAATTAGCTTTGATGGGAAGGTAATTTAAATTTTAATGAAATACTATAGTTTGATTAAGTGATGTAATATTTGTAATAGAATATTATATTAAATATTTTTATTCAATGCAATAATAAAATAAATATTATATTATATTTTTTATTCTAATTTTTTAATGTTGAAATCAATGTATGCAATTATATAATAAAAAAAATTTGACTTTAATAATTTAAATGTAATTAACACAACAAAAATTTTAATTATAAAAATTTTAAAATAAATAATACCTCAAATTTTTTGAATTTGATTGTTGGTAGGAATGGTTCGTTATATTATATCAAAATTTATAACGCATATCGTATATCTTATCAAAATTTTGATTTAATATTAACTTTTCGGTACCACATCAATAATTTGATATACCAAATTTACGGATGAAAGTATACCGAATTACGAAAATAGCGTGCATACCATATAAAAAATATTAAAAATTTCAAAGTTTCGGTATGGTATGATATTTTAAATATTGAGAAAATTTTAAAAAATCAATATTTCAGTATATATCGAATTTTTTGTGCGGGATTGTTAAACAAACCAAAAAAATTCTATACCTAATTTGGAATTTATGATATGCTATACCGAAGAATTTCTAACCGATAATTTTTATAATACCGGGATTGAAATACTAAAATAAAAAATATTTTTATAATTTTGCAGCGTAAATGAATTTTATTTTTTATTATTTTTTTTAAAAAAAATAAATTTAAAATCAAATTTCGTTAATGTTAACTAAGTTTTCATTCATAAAATACTAAATAAAACGTTAATATTACATTAAATATAATTTAAGATTTTAAATATTACATAAATATCTATCAGTATTAAATTAAGTTATTTATTTATTTTTTTAATTTTTGTTATTCAAAATACTAGCCTAACTTTTAAAATTTACAATTAAACAAAAAATAAAATTAGAAATATTAGTAATAGAAATATTAGTAATTTAATTAAATGTAGTTAAATTTATTATTTTAATTATTATTATATTAGGAAAATGAACTAATTTCGTGAGATGACTAAAAAGAGAAAAATGGGCTACGGAATGATATAGAGACACTTTGATTTCAATAACTGTCAAATAAATACATTTAAGTTCAGTTCCTACGAGTTATTTTAAAATATTGCACTCCCTAGTTTTGTAAAATATTTACATATAGGCTCCCTACGACTCATTTTGCCCTTGAAATGATGAGTTTATGTAACGAATATCTTATATACTCCCGCTCAGTTTATGTAAACCTACATTATTTACTTGCGTACTCTAAATTATTGTGCTATACAAATTTAATTGCAAAGTAATGTACCTTGGTTTATTATTTATATATTATAATCGGTTATAAAAATAACAAACAAAAATAACCGAATCTAACAAATATACATGATCTCAATCACTTTTTTTTCTTAAAAAACTTTTATCCTCTTATTTTCAGGTTGTTGTCTCTGACCGTCGTCCTTGAAATCATCACCGCTACTGCATTGAAAGTTTTTTTTTTATATATTTTTTTATCAAAGACCAACCGAGATAACAAAACAAATCTGCACAGTCTGCTCGAAATATCGAAGATGGTTTACTCTCCCAAATGAAATTCAAAAACTAAGTTAAAGTTTTTGTATTTGGTAAAAACAATATTTTAGTTTTGTTCTTTTGAATTCGTGGTATACTCTAGTTTCTTTGTCATGTGTCTTTATATGGTTTGTAAAAGCTTAAGTGCTAGTCGAGCTTACTTTGACATTGTAACTCACCATCATTTCAAATATAAATTATTTATTATAAATGCATAAAATGCATTTTGAAATGAGAGATCAAGATGCATGTTTGAGTGCATCCATGCATTTACAACTATTGAGTTAATGTGCATATCGTGTCCATTTCATGTCATTCACATTCATTTGAAATTCATACATGGGTTTGATGATGTATTCAGTTTCAGGAAATGTAATCTTCACAATAAATCATCCATTTTGGATGAGATTTATAGACCTCTGATGAGCATGTCTTAAAAAGGCTTTCGATTCATTCTTTTCAACACACCACAACAAAGTTTATTCCTCTCATCTCAAATACATTCTTCTTTTTCCAACATTCCGGCGAGGGTCTGAATTTCTGACGAGTTTTTCGGTTATATTTTCCGGTAGCTCTCCTTGTATTTAATTATCTCGACATAGTATTAGTTCATCGGAGTTTTGAAATATTAGGGTGCCACCTAATTTAGAGACGAACGTCGTTTTATTTTTGGGAACGTTGCGCCACGAACCGGAGGCACTATCGGGACATAATCGTTTTTACGGATAGAAGTTATACCTCGAACTCGACATGATTATCGAATTTTATTTCGATAAATTATTGTGATTATCGAATTTATTTCAATAATTATATCTAACAATTTCTAGACGAGCAATGATCGTTTACCGTTGATGATTCCAATACAACATTTAAATGACATTGTTTTAGATTTTCAATATTTTGTGGTGAGATAGGATGTAAATAAAACCACGTTTATAAATCAAAAGCGAATAGATAAAAAAAAAAAAATGTCTCGTATAGAATTGTCTGATGGTATAGGAGTGAACTTATAACTGTGAAGTCATGGATCAAACGTCTTTAGGTTTCACCTACCACACATATTCGCCTAATTGCCTTGTCGGGTCTACTTTACCTAATTTGCAGGTATTTGGTTCGACACTACACTTGATATGTAGTCAGGTTTTATCTTTATGATAGCTATTGGATGAACTTTAGTTTATCCAACAATATATCGTTAAATTTTATTCAATTTTCTAAATAAAATAATCATTAAAGTATATAATATTTTCTTAAATAATAAACAAATATCATTTTTTTAAAATGACTTTTTTAATAAAAAAATAAAATATTATTGATTTTATAAACGTTTTATTAAATTAGATGAATACATATTAATAGTAAGGTGTGAATTGTGAATAGGAAAAGTTATTTAAAATAATATATAAAATGAAATATTAAAGAAAAATATTCATTTTAAAAATTCTGAATTGGATTAAAAATATTATAGTATCTGGAATTACAAATAATATAAATAAAGTTTTTTTTTATTGCAGATAACTTTACAATTTATATAAGATAAATTATATAATTCTCAATTGTATTTTAGTAAAAATATAAAAAAAATTCTATATTTTATTTATTGCGTGAAACCATAAAATTTGCACGAAACACCTCATTGTCCAAAACTAATGTTTAGTTCTAAATAAAGA